TTTAATAGTTACCAAACCCAGCATTTTTACCACAGTACTTTTTGGGAAGTAAAGATGTCTGTGAGACTGACCACTTCACTGATTAGGTGCTACTTAATTTAATCATATCAGACTTGTATCGCATACACAGCATGCCTCTTGGCATCTAACTGACCCTAAACTCTATTTACACTTATCAAGAAGGTACCACAGGCATATTATAAACTCTGCAACTGCCAGTCCCAAGCTAGGATGAGAAATGAGGGTTAGGCGTGGGACAAGGTCCCACATTCTGAACAACTAATAAACTTGCTGCAGAAAGCCATTCCAGCAAGTTTATCCACTAAGTGGTTAGCAGTGCACACATTAAAAAACAAAAAACAGGTTACGGATCCCATTTCATGCAAAAGGTGTATCAAACATTCATGCCAGACTCGTATTATTGTATAACCAGTGGCACTCAATACGTAATCACAGATAGTCATATGAATGACAACAGAGAAAAGAATGAACGTGAAGTACAGTCGTGACTAACGTGTCTAACCATTTTTCTAACAATAATGCAGGCTACATATATTAATGGTAACTCTCTTTTAAGCCATGTTGGCAAAATGTATGCCAAGATAATAGAAACAAGACTGAGACCAGTGATAGAACCACAGCTGGCAGAAGAACAGATGGGATTTAGGAGAAATAGAAGCTGCACAGATGCGATCTTCACACTTAAACAGGTAATAGAAAAAAACATTGAATACAATAAGAACTTATTTGTGGCATTCGTAGACCAGGAGAAGGCATTTGACAGAGTCAACAGACAATTATTATGGAAAATAATGGCAAGATATGGAGTAAGCTAACACCTCATCGAAGTGTGCAAAAGTACAGGGATTGTAGAAGTGTAGTTAGAATAAATCAGGAAACATCTCATCCTTTCACAGTGACATCTGGAGTAAGACAGGGGTGTGTCTTATCACCACTGCTGTTTATCACCTATATCGACAGTATATGCAAGAATGCCAAGCCCATGAATGAAGATCTTAGTAAGATCAACAAATTACTCTTTGCAGATAACCAGGCCTTGATAGCAGATACAGCCATGAAATTGCAACAACATCTAACATCCATGAATGAAGAATGTAAAACAAATAATATGAGAATCAACACTGAAAAGACAGAAGTAATGTCAATAGGAAAAAAGAAGACAGATCTAAACATATCAATAGAATACAAAGGCATTAAACAGGCATCTGAGTTTAAATATCTGGGAACTACATTTACCGAAGATGGGAAATTGGATAAAGAAATTTACATTAGATGCAGTAAAGCATTGGGACAGCTAGCCCCCCTCTTACAGCATAAGACAATCCCAATCAGCACAAAGAGACATCTTAATCAAAGCATATTTATTCCAACTCTGTGCTACCAGTGCCAGACATGGTCACTCACAACAAACCAAAAACGAAAATTAGTAACCACGGAAATGAGATATCTGAGAAGGGCTGTAGGAGTGACCATAAGAGATAAGATCAGGAATGAGATCATAAGAGAACAAGTCAGCACAGAACCAATTCTGGATTACATACAAAGACAGCAAATGAAATGGTTTGCCCACTTAGAGAGAATGCCTTGTGACACCATACCATACAAAGCAAACATGGAAAGAGAAGAAGGACGTAGAGCACGGGGTAGACCAAGATCAAGATGGAAGGAACATCAGAGAAACTCTACAACAGCACGATGTGCCTATGGTCGAGGCAGCCACAAGAGCTACAAACAGAACCTTATATCTCCCTCGACACCCACAGCGGTAAAAGAGGAAGTGAAGAAGAAGGAGAAGAACTAAAAAATTTACTAGACACATTAATTCTATTATTATTAAAATATTATCTGGAATGTCACAACAATAGCAGACTGCAAACGGAAACATTTTACAACAATAAGTGTATACAGTAGACACTGTATGAGGTTTACATTTCACTGCCAGGGAAATATAAGAAAAGTATTTCCTGGCCATGCCTATTTATTTTGTTCTGTGATCACAGCTGTTCTGCAGAAATTTTTGGGAAAACAGGAGAAAACTATCATTCACACAGATACATTCACACAGATACAATCACTCCTCGCAAACCCAATATGAGAAATTTATTTTATGTATTTAAATTTTAGCTTTTCCAACCATATCAACAGTCAATAGGCTAATATTTATGGGAGGAAAAAATAACATAAACAATTATATACTGTTTATAGATAGTCAGGGCATATAGTTTTTGATAACATATAACATAGACAGTCGTTTCTGTTGCAAAACAGAAGGGTTTACAGGCCTGCTTTCAACGGGCTATTGTTGACTTTATGAACCAATGATAGTATACATCTGCACCCAAATTCAAAGTTAATACTCTGAAAACTCCAGTAGTAACTATCAGTTTATAGTGCTGCTTAAAACATAATACATTCATGATCTTTCAGCATTTTTTTTTTTTGGCATCTCATGTAAAACCTCGTTGTACTTCTTCTTCTTCGCGGTCACCAGCTGTAAACTCCGGCGGAAAGTTCTGGTTGTTCATCCACTTCTGGACAGCAGACTCGTTCCAAAACCTGAGTGTTGTGTGTACATCCATTTTACAGATCTGACTCATTTATATGCAGACTGCTGGTTCGTTTCCTCTCAGGCAGATGCACTCCGACTTCGAAGGAAGCTCCCAATTAGTCGACTCTTACGACATGCTTTTAGGTAGGCAGTGGGGCTATTCTTGTTTTCCCTATAATAGGGCCCCGGAACCCACACGGGGACCTCCTTGTACTGAAAGGGTTAAAATATTAAAAACAAGACCTAAACTAACCTTTCAACTAAGCAAGGAGACTGACCACTTTGTTTCTGGGTTTGTTTTTTCTGAAATGGTACAATTCTGTGTTTACATTTGAAAGTTATTGGAATGTCGTTTGGTTTCCAGCTAGAATGCTGTGTATGTGCCTTCGGCCCAGTATATCAGTTTTAGGCCAAAACTTTAATCTGTTGCAGGTTACTACATGCTTTTTAAAGAGCAGTGGGTTTATTCATTTTATTCCCCCAACAAAAATGGTACCCCAAACCCACACGGGGTAGATAATTACTATTATGATAGTAGGTAACCTGCATAATAAGAATATTTCAGAATTATAAATCACCTCCAGTGCTACAAACTGCAAATTTACACATCCAGACACAATGAACAACTAATCAACAGTAATATGTTCTATGTTACATTGTATTAAACACATCAATATATAAACCAGAAAAGACAAGAAATAAGAGCTGTATCTAACAACATGTAACGACAATATCATATACAGATCCAGCAATCATGTATAGTATTTGTGTAAATTAACAAGGAAACTTCTTTCAAACACACATCTTTTGTTTTTGTTTTACTGATTAATTTCTTTTCTCATAGATTTTGTCATAAACATTTTCTACAATAGCATAAAGAGATCAAAACACAATGTATAGTTTTTGTGTATATTATTTTATAAGTATCTCCTTCTAAACATGCAATTTTGTTTTATTATTCATCAATTACTCTTCAAAACAGTCCCATCATTAACATACCCTATAGCAGCATTTACAAATCTAAAAATCATGCACAGTATGTGTGTAAATTACTAAACTTTGTATTCATCAGCTTTTGTTCAAAAGATCTTTTTTATAAACATATTTTCATCTAATATCAGTTAGATCTTTTGTAAACATATTTTTTAATATATCAAATATTAATTATTTTCACTTATAGTTGAAAGGACATTGCGATAAGATGTTCACTAGTTTATTTTAGACACACACAAATATTTACACATGCTGAACAAATAACTAAGTATTTCAACGCGTGCAAGGTGATTCGGTTGGCTGTAATGTGTGGAGACGGGTGCATAGCAGATCAATCACATTTTTTACTATTCAGAAACTGCTAAAATCAAGCATTGTGTGATAACTTTTAGGTAAATCAGATATCTTATGTATACACAGATCAAGTAAGCTTCTGTTCCCACCAAAGTGGAATGATATATCAGATCAGTTACATCAGAAAAATACAAAATAATCAGATGTGTGTCCAGTAACTAAATGTTTCTAATGCTATGCTCCAGTGGTGGTAGTGAAAACAAAGACATTAAATTTGTTTCATTTCTTTCAAGTGGATGACTAAAATATACCTCTGGCATTGTTATGAAATGTATGTGTAAGTAAAGTGTTCATATATTTGGCTAAAGGAAACAACAAAAAGAAATAAGAAAACTTAAAATTGTAATGGAAGAAAAAAGTGATGTTATGAAATCTAATCAACTATCTGCTAAGTTTCTCCAAATATTTATGCTCAGTCTTCCTGACACAATACAGCATTCATTACTGGCAATTTTTATGTGCAGGACATGGTTAACACTGAAAATTCTCAATTTTAATAATTACTCATTCAAATAATGTTATAGCTACAATCAAATTGAAAAAAAAAAAAAAAAAAAAAAAAAAAAAAAAAAATTCGAGGACAACAAATCTGCAAGACTATAAAATTACTACATTCTTTCTTTTCATTGTTGTAACCTCTGGTTTTGCAAAACAAATAGGCTGCAATACTATGGCCAAAAAATTACCTCTCCACATCCTCATCATGGTGGCACTTTGTGTCATCGGGTGTTTATCGCTTGTGTGATGTCCTGGTAGGGTAGAAAGTCAGTCAGTCTTTTCATTGTTCAGCGACACATTAATAAGTTAGTTAACAGAGTAACAATTAACAAACATTGGCCTACTAATGTTGACTCCTTCATGATAATTCTCGGCATTCCTATCCTAATTTCACTTTTACTTCCACTACCATTTTCATTATGTAGCTTTCAAAATGGCCGTTTAATACCAGATCAGGTTTTTATACTAAACATTTGCGTATTAACTTTTCTATGACAGATTTTGTACAATGCTGTTGTTAATATATGCCAAAAAGTAATTAATTTGTGTGCCTAAATAGATAATACCCAGCCGAGTTTGTGTTCAGTTATGACGTCTCGTAGCTCTGTCTTGCGTTCAGTCTCTGTTGTATGAAAGCAAAGATAAAGAGGACAGCATAAATTCCTGCAGCTATCCAGCAGTTAATGGCACTGTCATCATATTTCTCTTGCACAAAATCTATGGTAAAGTTGTGATGCTCCCACTCTTCCTCTGTCATCTTTAGGTCCTCAAATAAGGCTGGGCATCTGATTTTGAAGAACAGTCCCAAAAAGGCCTGGAAGAGAAAGTGGAAAATTATTGATCAATTTAAAATAATAAATCACAAATAGCAAAAGGCTACTCATCTTGCCATTATGCATCAGATATATGTTGCTAGACCATCGGTATTTCTTCTTCTTTTTAGAGTGACAAACTCCAGGAGAACATTCTGGTTGTTTGTCTAATTCTGGCAAGAACACGAGGGTTGCATGCACATTTATTTTACAGATCTGCTTATTTATATGTATACTGTCATTTCCTGCCTCTCAGGTAGATGCAAATCTAAATTTGAAGGAAACAACCTTAATTAGCTGACGTCTACAATAGGGTAGGGTTAAAGATAAGGAAAAATCTAAATTTGATGACGGTCAGCAGACATGGAACAGAGAATGCTCTACACACTCTGTTAGCAAATGATTATTTCAGTGATTGAGTATGGTTAGGGCCGCTGGAACATACGCAAAATGAAGTCTTGCTTGTCATTTTGGTATGCACAAGGGACACGCAATTGACTTGCATAAAGTGATAGTTACCTTGGGCTGAAAGTGCTAGTTGGTGAAACAAGCATCACTGCAAGAACTGATTAATGAAAACTCATGCCTGGGAGACATGGTTATATACACAGAAGGGTCTGTAGTGAGCGGTAAAAAGAGTAGGTGCGGTTTTATTGCATAGGTCGATGGATATTGAAAACAGAGTGCTTCGCACATAACGTCACAACATTTAGTATGAGAATGGAGGTGGAGGCGGGATCAAGTGGACAGGGCAACTGAACAGACCAAGGGTCCATACATTAGCAGACTAATTCAGCCTAGGTGAGCAGGAGGGTCTAAAAGAAATTTAATACTGTGGGCGAAAACATAGGTTGCAACAGATACTATTGGCATAATCCACCTCATCATGGATTCAAACCCAAGAACTGCGGAAAATAGCACACTGATGTTGCTATAAATGATCTTCACATTGATCAGATGTCTGATCTAAGTTATCAGTTAATTGAATTTCTAACATCAGGACAAATTGATCACCCTATAGTTGCTCCATTCCTGTGTGAAAGCCAGAAAGAATTCCCATCACTCTCTCTTTGTTAAAAAAAAATTTTTTAAATAGCAGACAAAAGACATAAGTCTCAACAAAGCTAATAGCATATACATGCATTCAATGCATAAAGCATTTATAAGAAGTGTCAGCACAAACAATCTGCTACTAGACTGGCAGTTCATCATCGATGGAGGCAGCAATTCAAATAACTGGCAGTTGCACAAGCAATATTACATAAGACACCATTAGATATGTGCAACTGGCCACTCTCTAGTTTAAGAATCTTGCAGTCCACAACACAACCATGTTTAAACAGAAAAAAGGAATCCGAATTAAACCTGCAGCTTACAGTTTAGTGCCATGCCCTCAAAAGTAGCCAGATGATGGAAATGTATACTTTCAGTCTACATATAGTGACCAGTAGCAAATGACTTAAAAAGATTGAAAAATATTGGCCTAAGTTTCCATCAAACTGGACCAGAAGCATTCTGATTAAGTATATGTAGGATTTAGAAAACCAAGGCAATGAATGAGAGATTTACAAACAGGCCTATAAACACCTGGATTTACCAAAGAGAAAAAGAAGACCAGTCACCGAAATTCCCTGCATGCCTTTTTCTAATGTTATAAAAGTTGATCTTCACTTCTTTAAGGTGTTTCTTGATATCTTATTCCATTTTTTTTTTGGTACTGTCTTCCTGTTGCTCTGCATTCATTACATATAGTTTACATAGTTTTCTGTGGCAGTTGTTATTAGGGCATTCTGTTTTTCTTTAATGAAATGTATGACTAGTTTTAATTTTAGTCTTCTAATTTCCTCATTTTTAATTTTTATCTCTCCGGCATATCTTCTGAGACATCTCATCTCTGTTATGATTTTGCACTCACTAGTTCAAATCTGATACTGGTAGCACAGAACTCACCAAAAATTAGTTTCATCTGCAGACACTCTGAAGTCTGTTGTAAGCAGCATTTTCCTTTGCATTCTCTGCTTGATATCAACCACATTTCTATCCGAGGAGATACTTCTTAGATAAGTGAAGTCAGTTACTGTTTCCAAACCTACATTATCTATTACTATAGGAATTTCACTTTTGGGGTTTATCTCCAGCAGTTCTGTTTTATTGACACTGTTAACCCTGTCTGTTTTGCTATTTCTGTGATCTTATCTCTCTTTTGTTGCAGATGTTCTTTACTTTGGCTGATGACACAGATATCTGCAAGTCCAAATGTTCCAAGCGTTGAAGAAGATTCCACAGAAGGCCTGTCCGTGTGCCTGTGGTTGTTTTCTTCATAATATTATCACAATGAGAAATAAGAAAGGTGATGGAATGCACCCTTGTTGGACTCCTGATGTATTATGTTTCTACGAGTCTTACTTTTACTTTGCATTGATATCCTTCATAGAGTCAATATGTTTAAAACTTTATATGATAACCCATATGCAACGAGGATACTCCACATCTAGACTGTCAAAGGCTTTTTCAAAGTCTATAAAGTTTATATGTAATGTGGCATTCCATTTTAAAGCTTGTTCCACAATATTTCTGACAGTGAAAATATGATCACAGCAGTTCCTTCTTTTTCTGAATCCTGCTTGATCTTCCGACAAATCTGTCTATTGACATCCTTATTCTATCACCTTACAGATATGTGTACATGACAAGTAAAAATCTCTTTGTAATTCAACGTTGAAATATAACCAAAATCAACTATTATCTTTTGTTATTTGTATGGTTAGCTGAATTAATCAACCGTGGTGGCCATAATACTCCAAGTGTGTCAAGAGATCTCTTTGTCCTTCTAAGATGTAAATAGAATATAAATTTTTTTAAATTAACTAGCTTGCAGTCAATGTTCTTTTTTGCTTTTGTCGTTTCACTGATACCAGGTTGTATCCCAGTATCATGGTTTTTTTTTATATTTGTCTTGTGCTTCTTGGGTGCTAGATTTTGAGATCTTTTTACAGGTTTCAGCTATATCATTTATCTGTCTCTTTCTTGGTCTTCCCCTCGCTTTCCTCCCAGATGTTCTGCTGTAAAAGTCTCATATGCAGTTTGGTTTGGCTGCATTCTTACTAGATGATAGATGGCTGAACCATTTCAGCCTTTGCTAATATAATCCAGACATGGTTTTATTCCAACTTTCTCTCTAATGCTGGTATTTGTAACCCTATCCTTCTTGTGTTGATAGTGACCTTATAGAGACAGCTGATTTCACATGCAGTCATTTTCTGTTCCAGTGCCCAATTCATTGTCTATAGTTGGCAGTGAAAGCATAATGTAGCTATTATTACTGTTCATCTGCTGTTTAACTGAAAGGGAACCATTTAGGTGTCCAAGCGGTGGGGTTGAGCGGCAAGTGACAACATTTGTTTTTTGTGTGTTGGCTTATATCTGTCTATCATGTCTGCCATTTTCCATATATATGCTTCCTAGATGTATGAATTCTTGTACTTGTACTTGTTTGGTCAGATTGTAATAGTACTATTAACATGATTTTCATGTTTCCTGCCTATTCTCATTACCTCAGTTTTTACGGAGTTTATTTAAATATCATACAGTGTGCAGGTTTGATGTAAAGAGTCAATATAGTGCTGGGACATTTATGTTCTTGGCAGACAATGTAAATATAAAAATGATTTAATGTTTATATGTAAATGTGAAATTGTTTGACTGACTTGCAGAGCTGACGTAACAATTCTCAGCAATCAATTCCATTATGGTATGCTACAACATGGCGCTTCAACGATGGTAAACTAAAATATGTAAACTGTGCGGTAATGTAAATTAAATAATTAAATATATTTCAAATTATTTTTATATCAAGAAATCTACATGACAAAGTTTGTCACATTTTTATTTACTAAAATCAGAAAATACATACCAGCATTACAACACCCCACGCACTTATAAGCATGTAGTATATTGAGCACTTGGGTCCAAGACAGGCCATTGTAGAATCTAACCGGTAATTTCTTCAATGAAGAAATACTTTGCTGAAAATTACTGTCAAATGTAGACACGGAGCGACTGGTGCGAGTGTCTGTTTACGGCACGGGACACCTGACACAGGGAGGTCAATCATATGACTGCAAACCGGATATCCGCAATAGTCCGAATCAGATCATCTAATACAGAAGACTTACTTTTCTGTTCCATTCTTCTTTCACCCAGTCTGGTGAGATTTATGGGGGGGAAAAAGAGGGGGGGGGGGGTTGAGTGACGAGAAGTTCTGGCAGATGCCAAGGAAGGCAAAACGGACGTTTAATCAGAATGCTACTGGTACCATTAGTATCAGAACTCTTCGCTGGCTGCTGAAGATGAGGACGGAGCGCTTATGGAAATGCCCCGAGTGCTGTGATGTCGTTTCTTCAATCAAATCAAATTAAATTTCCTTTCACCCTTAAATGTTGGATTGGCACGTTGTCTTGTGGCTTATAGCTAAGTTGCGAAATTTGTGCTTTTTAACCGAGCACATCCGATTTCAGTAAATCCTTATTTGGTACCCTTTAACGAAATGTTTTTAAGAGGCAAAAAAAGTCACGTAGAACATCCCTTTGCAGAACGTAGCTTTCGTCAAGAACTGCCAAAAAGACTCTTGTTAATTACTCAGCCTCTATATTCTCATTACAAACATGTCACTCCTCATCACTTTCACCAATGTCCTCTATCACTCCTCGTCACTTTCACCAATGTCCTCTATCACTCCTCGTCACTTTCACCAATGTCCTCTATCACTCCTCGTCACTTTCACCAATGTCCTCTATCACTCCATACCACTTTCACCAATGTTCTCTATCACTCCTCGTCACTTTCACCAATGTCCTCTGTAACTTCATGTCACTTTCACCAATGTCCTCTATCACTCCATGCCACTTTCACCAATGTCCTCTATCACTCCATGCCACTTTCACCAATGTCCCTGTCTGTCACCAATGTCCTTCATGTCACTTTCACCAAATCACTCCATGCTCTTTCACCAATGTCACTCCATGCCACTTTCACCAATGTCCTCTATCACTCCATGCCACTTTCACCAATGTCCTCTATCACTCCATGCCACTTTCACCAATGTCCTCTATCACTCCACCACTTTCACCAATGTCCTCTATCACTCCATGCCACTTTCACCAATGTCCTCTATCACTCCATGCCACTTTCACCAATGTCCTCTATCACTTCATACCACTTTCACCAATGTGCTCTGTCACTTCATGCCACTTTCACCAAGGTCCTCTATCACTCCATGCCACTTTAACCAATGTCCTCTATCACTCCATGCCACTTTCACCATGTCTCTATCACTCCAGCACACTTTCATGTCACCTCTCACTTGTCACTTCCATTTCACCAATGTGCTCTGTCACTTCATGCCACTTTCACCAATGTCCTCTGTCACTCCATACCACTTTCACCAATGTCCTCTGTCACTTCATGCCACTTTCACCAATGTCCTCTGTCACTCCATGCCACTTTCACCAATGTCCTCTGTACTCCAACCACCACCATGTCCTCTGTCACTTTCATGCCCACTTTCACCAATGTATCTGTTCCATACCACTTTCATTAAAAACATCATCCTTTACTTCCATTATAGTTCCTTCTATTACCCCCCCCCCCCCCTAAATCAGGTCACAGAACCACACGAAAAGCATTTTGTATACTCCTTCGTCTTCTTCTTGCTCCTTGTGCACCATCAACCTATCATTCTCTTGCTTTTGTCTAACTGCTTGAATGCCGTAGAAAGGAGTTAGATGTAGTTTCCTTTTGCTAGTTGTGTAGCTTGTGTGAATGTCTTGTGTTAATATCATACTGTGTTACCGTGGTGTCTCTTTTTTACTCCCTCTACCCATTTCTTTCTTTGTCGGCTTCTTGACTTGTAACCCGATGTTCTCATGTAATACGCTCTGGCTGCTGACTGGTTTTATTCCATTCTATTTCGAAACCGGACAGCTCCCGGCGTTCACCCAGTCTCTAGGAAATGGGTACCAGAGTTAACACTCTGGGGTGAATTGAGGAATGTCGCTTTAGCTAGGGAGTTTCGTTCGGCCGCCGACACAGGCGGGCAGTTTCTTATCAGCTGTCCGTACTGGTGGCAGAGCACTTATGATTTATAACCGTGTGCAATGACGCTGGTTCACATCTCCCAACTTTACCTTTATTCTTTGATGTACTGTGAAATCATTTTCATGTACTGTTGTTCTTAGTTGATCATTGGTGACTTGTCTCGTCTTGTTGTGCCCGCCTTATTTCTTATATCTATGATCTCACGTGTAATTTTGCGTTTATGCTTTTAGGACTGTCTGTGTCTGACTGTGAAAATACAAAGTTGGTACGAATAGCGCATTATGTTTTTTGTGTGCGTGCATTGATATTTTCATGCATCAAAAGTGGCGTTATTTAGTCATTTATATTGTTTGCTATTCTGTCTTTTGTTTGTTTTGTTTTTCCTTCCAAAAAATAATCTTGGCTCTCAGGTCGACCCAGTCTCAAAAGGGTACCAGGTGAAGTCCTGGGAGGTTGAGGCAGCCGGTCCGATGTTAACCACATCGCCTATCGATTGCTCTATAAAATACTAGCTGTACCCGGCCACGCGTTGCTGTGGCCCAGAATGGTGAAATGGAGAGGAAAGAAAATAGCTCTTAGCTAACAGTGTCTGTCATATCCCCACCCCCCCAGTCATATCTCCCTCTCCGAAATATTGAGAAATCATCCATGGCGAAATTATTAAAAAAGAAATAGTTAAGAAATGAGGACTTTAAAATAATATTTTAAGCTCTCATCTAACTGTAGCATAACGCCCCCCCCCCCTCCTTTCCACCAATCATATCTCATTCTCAGTAGGATTGAAAAATCCTCACATGGAGAAATTATAATAGAAATAGTTAAGAAATGAGAACATTAAAATAATATTTTAAGCTCTTTCAGCTAACTGTGTCTGGCATAACCTCCCTCCCCCCCCCCTACCCAATCATATCTCCCTCTCCGAAGGATTGAAAAATCATCCATGGCGAAATTATTAAAATAGAGATAGTTAAGAAATGAGAACATTAAAATAATAATTTAAGCTCTCTCAGCTAACTGTGTCTGGCATAACCCCCCCCCCCCCTTTCCCCCAATCATATCATCTTCTCCGAAGGATGGGAAAGTCACCGAAATATTGTAACTAAATTGAGCTTTGCATCCGTGTCTACCCAGACTTAAATAGGTAGCATTAACTTGTACAGAGAAGTAAATGTAGCCAGTGTAACAGCTACCACATCACCCATCAAGTACCAGTACTACTGCAACCACTACCACCACCACCACCATCACAACAACAACAAAAACTGTCACTACAGTTTGTGTAGGTTGGTGGAGAAAAGAGGAGTTAGCGCCGCATGCTGTCGCCACCGACTATTTAGTTTGATTTTGCCCCAGACATAGAAAAAAAAAACTTCATCACGTAACCAGTGATGGAACCCCCAGTGAAAAGTACACTATACTCACGAATAGGGGAGAAAACTACCCCGCACCCGTCATCTCTCCCTAAATATCAGGTATTTAGTAGTTTCTCTACCACTATCGTGATGACTTGAACTTCTGCATCATAATTGTGACAGTGCTGTCCTGTTGGTATTTTGGCTGTATCCCTGGTATTATTAGGATGCTTAATGTACACTCCTGCACCTCCGTTGCTGACTGCACTTTCTGCTGACCCATCTGTGTAAACATGGACCTAAAGATTCTGCGGGTATTCATCATCAAGAAGACAGAGTGGCTGTTTTACGCTGCAAATTGTTTTGTTCTTCCTTGTCAAATTAAGATGCACAAGCATTCCTGCATAAGGTACACCCATCAATTCTGTGGCAACCAGCCACTCACCATGTTCTGTATATGCTGATTACTACGCACATCTCAGGGAGCACAGAAAAGTATTTTCTATAAATTTACAGCCCAGTGCCTCACCACACACTAAACTTAGTAGTTGGCCGCTGGTTCGGTTTTGCCTTTACCATTGTTGTCATCCAGTTTGCTACTGGAGGTTGAAACCCTATCTTTTCACTGGACTACTGGGGAGAACAGAATGGTCCACCATGCGAAGATGAAGTAGGTTTAAGCAAATGAGGCTAAGAGACATTAGGAGTCTTGTATTGTGCATCATTGCTCCATTAGGAACCCTCAAAATAGAGTGGATAAACAGGGTGTAGATAGTTGTGGAATGTCAAGTAAAGAGAAACTGAACACTTGTGCACTGCCCACACAATGAAAATATATTTTTAAAACTCTTAAATTTATTATAGTCAATATATTCTCAATTTTCACCAATGCACATGATATTGTCAAAACTAGTCACAAATGAAAGTTCTACCAAAGTAAAATAAATCAAATGATTTATGGTACAACAGATTTGACACTGCTGGTGGGAGCAACAATACGGCACATAAAATAACGCTTAAACGTTAGTTAAGTTGCATTTATATGTTTGTAAAGTATAGTAAAAGACCCTCTTTTATGCGTTGATGTGTACTGCGCTAGACCTATTATTTACAATCTGATTGGCACTTGATGGGTGATGTGGTCAACACCACGCCAACCACCTTTACCTGGTAGCCATTTAAGGCTGGGTCGACCTGAGAGTCAAGTCAAAGTCTTGGGCTCCGCTACGACCTGAACCCACTAGCTTTGGATCCGCAGTCCAGTATCTAGCCGCTACACCACGGCGGCTCCCTAATTTATTTGTAGTTCTTTAAATTCGGATCCACCTGACAACAACCGCAGGCAAATGTCTGGTTCTGTATTTTAAGACTGCATAAATGTTGACATCCTGCATGACCTAATATGAAGTAGTATTGGCTTATAACCAGCATCCTCTTCTGAAAGGTAAGGTATTTTAGACATGTCAAGTGCCATGGTTGTCTGGAGAGGCCACTGATGAAGGCTGCAGTTTGCAGAAAACAAAGTTAAGGCTGG